AGTTCCTGTAAATTCTTGGGCTGTCTTGCATGAACTGCACGTTTGAGATCTCCCTTAAGTGGCTCAATGATATTGAGGTAAGGAGAGCTGATGGACTCAGAGCGTGGGAGGGAGCGAGGAGGAGCAGTACATGAAAACAAGACACTTTTTTTGGACTTTAGCTATTGTGAACGTACAAAAGCAGGTACATAGATTAAATATACGAACCCCAAAAAGGGCATAATATGGGCTCTTTAAGCAAAATCAAAACGGAGTTTGGGGTTGAAATTATTGAAGTTTTTAAAAGTTGCGGGAAGGGAACGTAAACACGTCTACTCCCTGTCCGCCATTACCGGAAGTCCGGGATGTGTTTTTTTTATCACAGAATCTGGAGGAATAAAGTCCGGTGTACACTGTAGAATTTCAGACCTGTTACAGCCCCAGCCACACTCTCTCTCTGTATATGTGACTGACCCCTGATTTGAAGTGTGTGTGTTACGTCAATCCTCCAGGCCTGATTTTTTTCATCTGTGCTGCCTGCTGGAAAAGCTTGATAGGAACACAGCTGCAGGAGGCAACCAACCAATCAGAGGACAGCCCTGCGGCAACACACCTTTAAGAATCTTGGTCAGCCAGCAGTTTGTTTGTTTTAAGCTCGCCACTGTGACTCTCATTGTCTTCGTCTATGTTTGTTAAATGTTCTTTAAAGAACTTGTTGGCTTGTGTCTTCTGTGTTCTGAGGCTCTCGTTTTGTGTTTGATTGGGCAGGTATTAGTATTTTTGTAGACACACACACACACACACACACACACACACACACACTCGCATTAGGTTTTGTATTTGTTTAAAAACACTACGTTTAGGGGTGCTGTTTATTTGTTGTTCGATTTGATTAGTTAGTGTAGTTTGGTTGTATTTTCATTTATTTCACTATTTACACTTAGTATATAAAACACTTATTTAGAGTCCTTCTGTTTTACTATGTTTTTGATTTGAGCAGCACTCGTTGGCCTTTCAGTTTGCCTCACCTTTTGTTGTGTATCACAATTTGCTTCTTTTGTAATAAATAACTTTAATTTACCAAAAATAACTGGTTTTATGTTGCTTCGCTTTCCCCACTCGAGCCGGGTCATAACAGACCCATCAAGACAAAATTATTTAATTGAAGTAGGGCTCAATTTCAGCCCCCAGCGTCATCAGGCGTGCAGAATACACCAAGGCCCCACGCCTGATTACGTCCCAATCAGCTGCTCCCATCAGGTCGGATGGTTTTTGTCACATGTTTCGAATTTTGGTCGTACAACAGTTCAGACTCACACAGTGAGAGCTGAGAAATGAGCAGTTTCCCAAACTTCAGGATTTATATTCCTGATTGTCCCTGACAGACAACATCTGTATTCACAGTAGCAACAGCAATCTGTCTTCCCTGTCCGATCATGAAAGAATTGTTGGCAGGAAATATCTGCCGACCTCCAGCTGACAGAGAATATTTGTTATGATTAAGCTGCTGGTAAGCTTGTGTTTATTGGTGATGCAGTGTGTGTCTGTGTATGTGTGTGAGAGAGAGAGAGAGAGAGAGAATTTTTGCCAGTGAGTATTTCTTTGAATTGCTGAATTCAATTTCTGAGAAATTGTTTACTATCTGGTACAGACTGCCTGTTGAATTGTTCTTCATTCTTTATTACTTATAAATTGCAGCTGGAAGGAGTCCAATAACATGTTCAATAAAAGTATGTCTTATCATATCTTATTTGAGACATGCATATGGGACAACTGAAATACACATAAATTCATTGACAGTTGTGAAAGATTAAAACATTTGCAGAGAAAACCTTCAAAACTAAAGATGGCACATGAAGTAAACTTAAAGGGCCCATATTATGCTTTTTCTGGTTTTATATGCTCTTTAGTGTGTTTTCCAAGTGTCCTGTGCATGTTTAGGCACATCTATTTGCAAAAATTCAAAGTCCCTTTCAAGTCCCAAAATTGTCAGTGTGACGTAGTGCTAAGGTGCTAATATTTTTGCTCCCCTCGGACGGAGCCAGAGTGGCTGCATTCCCAATATGGTAAAAGGGGCAGGACATTTCCGAGAACCATGCTGGGCAACTGACCAATTACAGCAGAGCCGACAGGCCGACCAATCAGATCAGACTTGGCACATGTGGGGGGGGACTCTGAAAGTGGGCACTTCAGAGCCTTGGAGAGAGAGTCAGAAGCGAGCCGGTGCGTGGAGCGGCAGTACATGAAAACAGACACTTTTTTAGAACTTAAGCTATTGTGAACATACTTTAGTAGGTACATAAATATACAAAATCCCAAAAAGGGCATAATATGGGCTCTTAAACAAGTTTTAAAGAGTTTCTTGAACGGAAGGGGAATTTTCAACAGGCTCTGACAGTGACAAGGCAGCAAAACAAGTGGTAACCTCTGAGATATAAAGCCAATGTCAAGTGCTAAATCCTGCAGTTGGTAGAGGGTCTGCTTGAGGCTGGCTTAAAGAGCCCGGAGGTCACATACACACCATATTCAAAAAAGCCTGTTTTCACAGCAGAAGTTAACATGTCTACAACCTGGTACAAAAAATGGTATTGGTCTGATTAGTTATCATCCTAAACATGGGCACACACTGTACGAGGGGTGAACGCATCAGTCTTGATTTTATGAATGATACGAGTAATGCAAGTCAGGCACGAGGCTGACCTGATTTCCGGGCGGGGGCAGTGTAACAGTTTATCAAGAGGATTAAAACCCTCCTCAGCTCCAGCTCTCAGCATGTCATTAAGTTGGCTGCTGGTTAGGCTAAGACAGGATAACCAGCATGGCTGCCGCCAATGAGCCTCCGAAGCCCCCTGCAGTAACAAATGGATGACTTCACTGAGGCTTTGTCTATTAATGTTTACAGTCTATGAGAAAAAGCTAGTTTAGCTCAATTAAAGAATCCTCACAATGGATTCCAACTGACTATTTGTTAAGCAGAAGAAATAAATCAGTTTTAAATCAATAAAATAATTTCCAAATCATTATTTAGTCTGTAAGGGAATTTTGATAAACTTGTTCTATAGCAGAAGTAATTTGAGACCCCTTTAGTATTTTCTTAAATAGTTTAAACATTTCCCTTCATAAAACAGCTGATTACTTGAACATGTATCCATCATTTATATTTTGTTTTTCTCAATGGGGTAGAAAAGAAAATGTTTATCTGAAAAGATAAACTTTGTAAAGATTGGCCTTTAATTTAAAAATCCTCTCGTAATTTTTCGACACACGAGAGATGCGTTGTTATAAAAAAAAGTAACTAAGTAACTTTTACTTAAAGTACATTTTAAACGAGTTACTTTTTACTTTTACTTGAGTACATTTTTAAACTGGTACTTTTACTTGTACTTAAGTAAAATTTAGTTAAAGTAACAGTACTTTTACTTGAGTAGAATACACCTCTGGTAATTACCATTTCTATTAAGAAAGGTGTGACTTTCCTTTAGGCAGATGCTCTTCGATTGATGAATTGTTCTATTGTGTGTAAGTGGGGTTACTTTCGGGTAGATGTTCTGCTGTTGATTGTATGTGGGTGTGTTTACTATTGTTTTAAATGTTTCTTTGATGTATTTGAGACTGTGGGATTCCTTCTCTATTTAAGGTCAGTATGAACTACTTGCTCTGGAGAGGACAGATGAGAAGATTTCTCCTCTCCATGATCACGTTAATTAAAAGTTTCCTGCATCATATTACATTGTGTTCTTATTTTTAGAGAGATTGACATTCTGCTGATTTAGGAAGAAATTTCTCTCACAAGTCTCAAATTATTGATTTCCTAGGTAAAAAGCTGTTTAATAAGCAGTAAAATTCTATAATATATTGAGCAGGTTGTTAAAAAAAATCACAAAGTTAAATCAGGGTATGAATCACCACCAAAGACCTCGTTTTTTATTCATTATACAAAGCCAGACTCAGAGTGAATGTGGATCTACAAGATCTTTGATCCAAATGTTAAACTGCTGCTTGATCCATCTTTTCACTTGGAGTGCAATTGTTCAGCAGCTGAAAGAAGTGTGGTCTAATACTTAGTCCTGGGACATGCCTGCTGAGACTCCTGCTGTTCTTTCTAATGGAGACCTCTTGGATATTCTGTTAAGTATAATGGCTCCATCTACGTCAGTGGCTGCATACTGGCACAAGTTTCATTCCCTTTGAAGTTTTTTTCCATGGCCTTAAATGATAAATCCTTTTTATCCACCTCATCAGAGACATTTGGGGAAAACCTCAGAGCCACGAGTCTCAAAGGATGAAGGCTGGAGAGTTAGAGAGATGGCCTGGAACATGTAAGTACAGCTTGGAATGATACTGAGCTTTATATTTATCATCCTTACTAAACCAAAAAAAGGCTGTTGATTTACCCTTCAACTGGACTCCCAATAGTATTTATGTACTGTATGTGTTTATGTTTCTTTTGTTTGTTTGTTTATTAGTCAGTTTGTTTCTCCTGTGGTTGAAGGTCTTTTGAAGTGTTTACTGTGTTTGTGTATTGTCCTCTATGTGTTGCCGTACTGTTTGTTTACATTTAGGCTTCTTTAAGTTGTTGTTTGTTGTCATTGTTTATCTGCGCTACAAAGTGAGAGCTAAACATTTATTTGTATTACTTTCATTCATGTATTGTTTGTTTTTAAGTTAATATTCTGGCCTTTGTTGGATGGACAGCTGAAGAGAGACAGGAAACAGCTGGGAGAAGAGGGTGGGGGGGCGACATGCAGCAAAGGACCGAGGTCGGACTAAAACCCACAGCCGATGGGACGCAGACAACAGCCTCTGTACATGGGGTGCATGACAAAACCACTAGACTATTGGCGCTCCTGTTTGTTTGTTTATAGTTTGTCTGTTTGTATCTTCTTCTTTTGTTTGGTTGTTTTTTCTACCTTTTGTATGTGGTCTTGTTCTGTGTGTGTGGTTGAATTTTTCTTCAGCTTTGTATGTATATATGTATATATACATGTATATATACAGCGTATGAGAAACTTGCTCCTCACCTGGCCTCCTGAGGGAATCCCATCCTGTAGAGAGCGACTACCACAGCTCCTCCTAAGCCGATGTTGTGCTGCAGAGCCACTTTAGCTCCAGGGACCTGCCTCCTGTCAGCCTGACCGCGGAGCTGCCAGCACAGCTCTGCACACTGCGCCAGACCTGAGAGAGTGCGAGGACAGAGAGAAGGAGAAGAGGCTTATGGAGGAGGATGTAGTTAACTTAACAAAAAGTTTCATCACCATGAACTGCAAGATATGAACTCTGATTTCAAAAGTGAAGCCAGGGCAGACATGCTCCTAACCTGCATTCTCTATAACTCCAACAATATATCACTGGTTGCAAAACCAAAAAGTTTTTTTTTTTTTTTAAAGATCTACTACTTCTGAATTGATTTAACAACTCAGGTTTCTGGTTTCACATCTTTTTCTCACAGCATGACATTCCTTTAGTCATCTATGGTTCTGTTCAGAGTATAATAAACGATAAAGCAGGGTAAGGGCAAGGGTAACTTTACAGTAGCTACCTGTGTTTGACAATAGGTTACCAAGTTGGTCATTTCTGGTTCCAAAAAAACAAAAACGGCCAAACTCACAGCTTCAAAACACAGAAGAATGTCTTACATTTACAATATGCACGGATTAGACTCTGATAGTGATTGCATTTGAAACTTGTTTTAAGCTTCATACCTACTTATTTTGGGGCTTTTTGTGCCTTTATGGTAGAGACAGGACAGTGGACAGAGTCAGAGGGAGAGAGATTGGGGAATGACATGCAGGAAAGGCTGAGAGAACATAGCCTCCGCACATGCACGTTGCAATTCAAATATTAAATAGCAATTAGCCCTTAGGTTGCTCTTTTTGCACATTTGCACACATCCACTTTGCACTTTACTAACTTGGCTGGAAGTCCCATTTTGATATCATTTTTTTTTTACTCTGTATTCATTTAGATTTGAAAGTGATGTTGTCCTTGTGTTTGTTGTCTTCTGTGAGCTACTGCTGCAAACATATTTCCCCCTGTGGGACAATAGAGAATCTGACTCTGAATACATGAGGCGTGCACACTAACCACTACGCTGCCAGCATCCCCATACCTACTTTTATAGTTGTAATCGGACATCTGTATCTGAATTTAACCACGCCTACCCCACATATCTAGTAAGTCAAACAAAAAAAAAATGAGCTGAAAGAAACTAAAAAGGTTTATGTAGAACTAAGAGGAACTGCAGAGTCATTACATGTGTTTGTCACTTCACTATCACTATACAGATGTAAAACAAGACAAATGTGAATGCTGTATGCATAGCATTAACCTGAAGAAAGAAAACAAAGTAGTGGTTCATATTTAACAACAGATCACATGTTTTGGTCCCCGTGTGAAGGCATTCTTCAAGTGTTAAATACCATCTCCCCTCTGACAAGCAGGATCCTAATCTGACACTCACTTACTAATCTGGACATGGAAAGCGAATGACAGCTAACTAACCTTATGGCTAAGTAGTTCATCCCTCCAAATGGTTGACAATTATTCCTACAAGCTAACAGACTTATAGGGTAAAGACCTCTAAACCAATTGCATCTTTCATATTCTGCAGCACTCTGATTATCTGTGTCCACCGGGAGCAACTGGTCTAAATGCTAATTGGAAAAAGAATCATCATGTCAATTTATAAAATAAGGACTCTGTGGCTTTTTATACACAATGAAAAGAAAAATTAAATGATATATTTTCATTTACTCTCCTCCAGCAAAACCCATCTCAAGAGAGGGGATAGCACAAGTAGCCTCCACTTCATATCAACACAGAAAATATCAGACCCCCTTAAAGTGCCTCATGCTTCCTTCTTTGAGAGGGTCTCTGCACTGGTCGATTTATATACCATCAATCCCTTCCCGCTCGCTGTGTTCACGAGTGAAGAGGTCAGAGCTTTAAAACCAAGATTAGGAGCAACACCACGGATCAGACAGAGCTTAGATGACTGGGTCACTCGCACACTGAGACCCAGGAGATAAGGGTCAGGACTGGGAAAGTCACTGTAGTAGAGGAGACTGGCAGGTAGGCAGAAGCAGAGAAAGATGATCAATTAAAAAAATAAAATAAAAAAACAGAGACCGAATGAGGGGAAAAGGAAGGCTATCCCCCTAATTCCCTGTCTTGTTCCGAATGTGTGTGAACGATTCGATGCAATGTGAATGAAAATTTGATCAGATCTGCCAGGACGAAGGTGAGGGCCGGTTGAGTCAGCTGCTCTGTTTGCTCAGTGTCCTCCCTCAACAGTTTAACATGTCAAGAGATTACAGAGGAAGCTGCCAAAGCCACAGGCAGCTGCTCCCTCACATGCAGGCTTTAACAGAACCCATTACTATGAGACACACACGCCACCTGGTGGTCACTGAAGGAAATACTTTCATCTGTATCTCACCACAAATACAGCTATGTTATGTTTTAAACAGTGCAACAAGTTCTATTTATCTGCTGCTCCAAACAACCTAAACATTAGAATAATCAGAGTCTTTAATGTAATTACCCCGTCATCAAATTAGGTAAACAATACACTAAGTTATCTTGTCATTCTCTGCAAATACTGTCTCAATTCTCAATTCCCCCCAGTTAACTTCATCATTCATTTTGTACTGTATATACCCCCTGTTTTTATTTTTATTTATCTTATCTATTCTGTTTAATGTGTATTTTTGAGCTCTCTTGTCTGTGCTGCTGTAACGCCCGAATTTCCCCTCTGGGGATCAATAAAGTATTATCCTTCCTTTCCTTTCCTTTAAGTGGTGAAGACAAGGTGTGAAGTTACCGTGCAAAAGCTTCATGGAAAATATTTCTACTTTGTCTGCATGACTTTTTCTATTTATTTTTTTATCAATAATGCTGGAGGCAACAATATATGTACAAAAATCAGGCCAAAGAAGGATTTCCCCATCAGATATAAAAGTCTTTGTATAAACCTGATCAAAGAGGGCTATTTCCTGTCTCAGAACAGAGTGAAATGAATAAATAAAAGTAAATAAAAAATGAAGGTTTCAGGTGTAGCTTACTGAATACTGATTACATCCCAATGACACTAAATGATAACGTAGTTCATATAAAACTGTTTTGGTTTGAGGGCACTGCTGGTTAGTGTGCTCGTCCCTTGTCTCTCCGGATTTCTGACTGTCCTTTCTCTAAACAAAGGTCAAAATATCCCCCCACAAAAAAAACTTAAAAAAACTGTTTTGGTTTGAAATATAAGCGGAGCAGAGAACACACATGCACGCATTGTAAGAGTGATCCATGTTTTCTCTCCTTATGTAGGAAGGTTCTGGGGTTATTGCTGAATGGTTCGATTTGAAACTGCACAAATCAACACATACGCATATGTCCTCTTGGGGACATATTTGGTTACATTTAAATTTAGAAAATGAACAGTTGGCTTAATAACCTGTGAAAAGATGGCTGTTTGATATCTTGTATAGAGACTCAATAATTGGGTCGAACAAATTATAAACATAGTTTTTTATGAACTACTTTTATGAGTCAAAGTTTTTGCCTTTTTTTCTTCTCATCTTTTGCACCTGCCTTCTCTCTCTGTGCCTGTGTGTTGATTTTTCTTTCGTCAATTTTTTTTATTGTTGTGAGGCTGCCCTGTTTGTTCAAAAACAGCCATTAGCTACTAATGCTTTTCACCTTGGCATTTTACCCCCCAACATAACAGTCCAGACATTGTTTACTTTGTTCTACAGTGAACATCTAATGGTTCTCATCGGGAGTCGGAGGCCGGGCGTACCTGTTGCACCCAGAGGATGTCCTTTAGAGATCAGACCACCGCTCGGGTTGACCACAAACTTTCCTCCATATGTGTTGTCCCCTCTGTCGATCAGTTCTCCGGCTTTACCTACAGAGGTTTGAGATACAGAGTGAAATTTAAAGTCTATCCTTATTCATCTTTTTAGTATCATCAGCACATGAAGGGTCTGATCCACAAAAGGATTTTTCCTTCTAAATATCATCTCATCCACAAAGACCAGCACTAATTGCCACAGGCAGTCAAAGTTTTGCTACTCAACACCATTCAGGCTCACAGAATTATAGATATGTATAATAGAAATAGGAATCAAAAAAGACATATAAACAAAAGGTGCCAGAATGGAGAGTATTGAACAGACTGAGGTATATTTCTGTGTTCCGTGAGACCTGTTGCCTTCGGGAGCACGTCGCTCTTTTATTCAGTTTGATCTTTTGATCCCCTTTGACTTTTATTTCCCACAAGAATGGATTATCAGGGAGAGATATGTTGTGTATGTTGTTCCACAGTCAAATGCCCTCATAAACCGCCACAAAGAGAAAGATAACGATAGGCAATGTTCCTGAGAATTATCTAATGTCATTTAAATTCTGGGTTATTTGAGGACATCTTTCTGGTTAAGCATTGGGACAGACTGCTGCACGACAATATACAGTCACACAGCAGCACTCAGCACAGGACTGCAGACTTTAAGAAGAAATAAGACTTTAATAACTAATATTAACACGGGACTAAAAATCGAAATAATGACATGTCAAATATTTTTGGATTTGCTTGAGTGGACAATGCGCTGCTCCAGCTGGAGGATAAATGAAGAGCCGCAGTCTTACCCTCAGGACAGAGCCCGAGGGCCTCGTACGTGATGAGCTCATTGGCTGAGAAGCAGTCGTGCAGCTCGACCACATCAACGTCACTGGGTGTCAGTCCTGCAGCTTCAAAGCACTTCTTAGCCGCCAAATGAGACATGTCATAGCCCACCTGTACAGAACAAAGAAGCCTGTTTAGTTCATTTAAAGAATGAAGTGATCAGATTGAAATCAATTCCAAGGTCCTACATCATCATTTACACCTCAGACTGTAATTAGGGGTAAATATACAGAAGATAAATTGCTGTATCACTCTGGTTGAGCAAACATTATTAGGATTATTAAGAGGATTTTGCCCTTAAAGATTGAGAGAAATGGGGAAAATCCTTTAAATTGATATGACGAGGGACTGAAGGAGAAACTCTGAGAAGTCTGTTAATCATAGAACACACTGTTTTAATCTTTATGCATTTTCCTTTCTCAGTTTTTATCAGCTCTGCTGCGTAGCATACTGTCCTGTGCTTCGTAATGTAGCCTTATAATAACGACTATATCTACTGAAAGAAGTTAATTTCATCTTAATTAAACTTGATATCAGTAAGATATATTCTTGAATTATACCATCAGAGACCAGCAGCTCTCATGTTACAACAGGTGAGGCAGCAAACAAGAAAAGATACCTGATCTTTATGAATAAAGATGACCACACTCTTTAAAGAGCAGAACTCTTGTTTGATGCCTTCTCACCATCTTGATGCAACTGTTTTCTTCAAACGTGGACGAGAGGTCGGTCACCATCTCTTGGGCAACAATCTCCACAGCCTGGGCCTCAAGACGGTGTTTCCTGACAAAGTCTTCACTGGCCAACACTGCTGCTCCTGCACCGTCTGATGTCGGGCTGCCAAGAGGAGGAGATCAGGAGAAACAGTGATGACAGGAAAAAAACACAATAATCATCAATATTGATTAAAAGAACTTCATTTATATGGCAAAAACAGACTTTTAAAAAGTGCTCTGACTGACACAGTTGTAGCCGATATTAGCAGCCACGTTTTACAACCTCTCTTCCTGCAGGACTCAGGGATATGGATTAACATGTTGGTTACTCTTTACCAAGAAACAAAGGAACTGATCAATGATTTAAGTCTCCCTCTCAGACAGGCTCTGGAGGACAGGATTGATTATTGATTATAAACTTTTACAACCTGGAGTAAACAACCAAGCAGAAAAAGAACACCTACAGGCTGGGATTAACTGAGGATGTTCCCAGGTGGTGTGATTTTCATCTCAACATGAATCTGATAGAAATAATATCGAAATGAATGTATGGTGACGTATATAGGTTTAGATTCTTATTCTTCATCTTAATTAGTAAACTCGGTTTAATTTAAACAATTGTCCTCCGGTCAGAGTGGGAGTAACCCTTCTCCTGCAGGGCGGATCCTAGCTGCACACTCCGACCAAACTGCTAAGGCATCTAATCTAGCCTGTGGTAGCCCTGGAAGGGAAAACTTATCAGAGACTGAGACGGGACCAGCCAGGCGGAGTTCAATCAACACAACTCACAGTAAGAGTGTTGGTTTCAGTGGGTGTTGAGAGATTAAGTCGTGAGTCGTGTCTATTCAGAGCCCTACTTTAAATCCAAATAGAATCCTAAAATTTGTTTATCAACTTTTTCCCTTTCGATCATTTGCTGATTAAGTCATTCAAACAATACCGCGTCTTATCTCATTATTAAATATATAATGTCACCATACGTTATAATTGCATTGTCCTGATCATAATAATCATATTCTTTATCTGTTTCATCTATACATTATTGTTTACCATTTTTATATTAAATTTTACACATAAAATTCAGGACTTTGTATGTGTGTTTTCTGGTTTAACATTTATAGAACTTACTTCTTTCAAGATATGAAAGTGACTGATTTATTAATTACTACAATACTTACTTAATTATTACTTTGTAAGGTGGTGCTCTGAGGTAAAATAAAGATATAATATCTTAATAAATGAATTATGCTACACAGCAAAGACAGGAACTTGGAGTGATAACAGAATAAACATTGATCAGTCAGGACGAACACCGGGGGGGCTTTAAAAACCAACTAAAGGCAAAACAAAATGCAAACACAAAAGGTCAACAAGAACAAATAATAAGGGAATAAAGGGACAAAACAGGCTGATCTCGAAAGGCAGTTAAAGCAATAAAGTGATAGAAATTCAGAAAAAAGTAAAGAATTAAATAAAATAGGATAAAAGTTTGTATGAAGTCATCCCATTAGAGGAAATAAAACATGAAAAGGTTTAAAACAGCAAGACTAAAAGATCAACAAAGATAGATGAATAAATTAATAAACAAAAGCAATGAAGGAGGGTAAGAACAGAACATCGGAAGAGGACTTAGAAACAGATAAACAGATTCAGAGGGATGAAAAAAAATGCATTTAAAAAGGTGAAAATCAAAACAAGACTGTAAATAAGAAGTGATTTAAAAGAAGTCAATAGTAATATCTCAGGATCTTGTTAGCATCAGTGCTGTCACTCAAAAGAAGACACTGACTGTAGATCACTGAGAGCCTTACCAGCACTGCAGCAGAGTCAGGAATTCAAACACCTTCCTGGAGTTAATCACCTGCTCCAAACTGTACTCATCCTGGAACTGGGAATACCTGCATGGTTGTTGTAAACACCAGAGTCATTACTGTTATTGAAAACTAGATTGTCACAAACAGTTAACGCATAGAGTTGGTTATTTCCAAGCAATGATCAGTTTTTAGTGTTGATATTGTCTTACGGGTTGTTGGTGGAATGCTTGTGGTTTTTCCACGCTATTTTAGCAAAGTGTTCGGGTTTTGTGCCTGAAAGAGATTCAAACAATTCATGTCACAATGACACAATGGATGATACAAAATGCCATATTACTATTAATATGGATATGTGGCAATATGTACCATATTTCTCCATGTGCTCCCTTCCAGCGTTGCCAAACAACTGAGGTGCTGCTGGAGCTGCTGCCATGCCGTAGCGGTTGATCATCACCTCCATGTGCTTGTCCATCGGATTGGTCCGGTCCAAATACTAGAAGATGGCATTTTTCAAGAACATTTATCTTTGTTTTATCTTTTTTTTAAAGAAATTATTCGTCAAAAATGATAGTAGAGTCTTGTGACTATGCTTCAATACAGAAGCCCTATGTGGACATTCATCCATACATTTTATTGAGCAACTCCGTGCTCAATAACCTACTACCTTTGAGGACAAGGAGCCCCTCTCCATCCGCTCAAACCCAGGGCAAGCACACAGTCTGCAAGACCTGCAGGACATGATGATGGAAAGTAAGCCACAAATTAGTGTTACTGTTTTATGACAGGTTTTGCTGCAAAAAACACTTCAAAGGTTTTTTCTTTTCTTTTTTTTTGGGGAGGGGGGGGGGGGGGACTTTTTGTCTTTATTCGATAGGACAGTGGATAGAATAGGAAACAACAGAGAGAGCAGAGAGTGGGTAATGACATGTGGGAAAGGAGCCACTGAGTGCGCCCCAACTATTAGTTTCTGATGAGACTGCTATTTTCTAAGATTTAGATTTCAGGTGGTTTATATATAAGCCATAAGTTGTCATGCTGGACTCACCTCCCAGAACCAGCTGCCGAGCCATGAAGAGAGCTGTGGAGCCGGTGGAGCAGTTGTTGTTGACGTTGATGATGGGGATCCCGGTCAGGCCCAGGCTGTGGTAAATGGCCCTCTGCCCGCATGTGGAGTCCCCTGAACAAAGGAAGGAGCTGTCACTATTTTGAGGTACCACCTCAATACCTTCACACTGCCGCGGTGCCACCCTAACTTCCTGGGAAGCTAGACTTTGTGGCATCCCCTTTTCTCTAACATCATTCCATATATTAAAGCATGTGTTTAGGCCTATGTTTGTAAAATGACAACAGACTACCAAAATTATTTTTTTCAGTTGAGGGATAGGCAAAATACGTCTAGGTAATGAGTGGTTTAGGTTTAGGTCGCAGCGAGCTGGACAAATGAACTGCAATGCATAACATTAGTTAGAAAAATGACGAAATGATAGGTTGATGCATTTAGCAGACAAGAAAAGTGTGAATCTAAAGTACTCAGAATTACTGACGTTCTGGTCATATCAAAACAATAAAGCAACAACCAAACAGTCCTTTTTGAGTTTTGACTTTTTTGCTAATTGTTTTGAGTTGTTCCCAACAAGTAGTCTTAATGATGGCAGACACGCAGTGTTTGACTCATTTAAACATTCAAAACACAAATCGTTTTGTAGCACTTTAAAAGAGAAATCGTTCTATTTGGAGAAATTATCTTTTAATCCTATTTGATGGTCTATTTTATTCCACAATATGAGACACATTTGTCTTCAGATAAATGTTTATTTTACTAGATTCGTATTGAAAGAAAATATGTACAGGGGACATTACAAGAGTGTTGTAAAAGCACATCTTTTATTTACATAGGAATATTAACACGGATCATGTAGTGGTGATCAACTGATAAAAGTGAACATGTTATTATGGTCTTACCATAGACGTATCCTACACAGGCCTGTTCAATGGATGAATATGGGACTCCTGCATCTGCTAAAGCCTTTTGGCCTAAAACAGGATATAAAATGTAGGGAATAAACAATGTTATACACCAAGATCCATTTCACATATATCCAGATATGATATCTTTAGAGAGACTGAACAATGTCCATATTCTGTTAAGATAAGCACCTGCTTCCTTGGCCATATCAGGATAATCATAATCGCCTCGGGCTCCAGGCTTGTCAAACTGCATAAAAGAGATTTTGAGAGATGGTGAGTGACAGTTAACGAAAGCATTCATAAGTTATTTTTCTGTTGTTTTTTTTTTGTTAAAGGATGAGACATCGGAGTTGTTGGGTACTTGCAGTAAAAACCATCAACTTCCTTTTGAACTACTAAATTAGATACATCTCAAAAACAAAGGTTGAGGTACTGCCAAGGAATATTGCTCAGACAAAACCAGACATTTAAAGAAATTGCAACGGGCTCTCGGAAGTTGCAATACCTTTCTCATCTTGCATGCTTTTGCACCAAACAATAAACTGCATGGTGAAATGACTGTGCCTTATTTGATTGTTTGCGAAGGTAAATATTATAAAACATCTAAATAAATAAAAAATCCAATCTAAAAATGAAAAAGAATTGACCTAGACTGTACAAGTGAGAAAGGGCAGGAGCTAAATAATGTTTTTTATGATGAACAGCACATAGGACTGACAGTGATAGCAATACGATCGTAATTTAATGTGAGTAAAATAGATAAAACACATCATGTACTTACTAGTCACTGTAACAATACTCTCTGATTTCCTTAGTGACATAAATCACAGCTTCATGAGAGCATTATTTCACTTAAAGCTTTTATAATTAACACATTATGCACATAACTACCCATTGAAAAGCACAGATTGACTTGATCTCAGTGCAGAAATGCATGATTTTTTTAAACCAAAAGAAGTGCGTATTCATTGTGACGTGTTTGGCCACATTTCAAGACCTTCACTTGTTGATCTGAACTTGTTGTGAACTCATTAGACTCGTCTTGACACTTGTTCTCTAAACTCTGGAGTTACTGTTTTCACAAGGTTAGCAGCCTGCTGGACTGATGACCCTTAGCACAGTTCATACCTCTGTCTGTATGAACTCTGGACTCACATAGTACACGGAGTAATCACACAGAGACCCGAGTTAAGTTAACTTTCAAAGAAGAAACATTATTTGAAATTTTAAAAAAAAGCAACATACTCCAACAATGATATCAAGTTAAAGCTAACTTAGCGAGCTAATGTTTACAATGTGTAGTGTCAGCTGTTCACAGAATCTGTAGAGCGGTGACACTATACTATACAGAATATAGTATTTAAGTTTAAATAAACACTGTTGTCTGTTATGAAACTGTGATGTTGTAAAGTATTAGACGTTGTGTTTTTACAAGGAACAAATAAGATGCAATGCAAACTGGATGCTAGCCCCAAGTCTTACATAAGGTCTTTCTTAACGGTGTGGGACAAAGACAAAAAAAATGTGAAATAACTTTACCTTTGTCATGCCCACACCGATGACAAACACCCTGTTCTTCATTGTGCGTGCCATGGTCGCTTCTCTTTGGCAGTCTATGGTTCAGACACACAGGCAAGAGAGGAGCAAACAGCAGCACTGACAGGGTCCAGCTAACACGCTACACAGCAAAGATCGTCTATAGGAGAAGATGATAACTTGGTGGGTGGAGATAATGTGAGTATATACAGTTGCAAGAAAAAAATTCCTAGTTTTCTGCATAAATTGACCATAAAATGTGTTCTGATCTTCATCCAAGTCACAACAATAGACAAACACAGTCTGCTTAAACTAATACCACACAAACAATTATATGTTTTCATGTTTTTATTGAACATAACATTGTAAACATTCACAGTGCAGGGTGGAAAAAGTATGTGAACCCTTGGATTTAATAACTGGTTGACCCTCCTTTGGCAGCAATAACCTCAACCAAACGTTTTTCTGTAGTTGCAGATCAGACCTGCACAACAGTCAGGAGGAATTTTGGACCATTCCTCTTTACAAAACTTTTTCAGTTCAGCAATATTCTCGGGATGTCTGGTGTGAACTGCTCTCTTGAGGTCATGCCACAGCATCTCTATCGGGTTGAGGTCAGGACTCTGACTGGGCCACTCCAGAAGGCGTATTTTCTTCTGTTGAAGACATTCTGTTGTTGATTTACTTCTGTGCTTTGTGTTGTTGTCCTGTTGCATCACCCATCTTCTGTTGAGCTTCAATTGGTGGACAGATGGCCTTAAGTTTCCCTGCAAAATGTCTTGATAAACTTCGGAATTCATTTTTCCGTCGATGATAGCAAAATGTTTACATGTTGTGTTCAATAAAAACATGAAAACATATAATTGTTTGTGTGGTATTAGTTTAAGCAGACTGTGTTTGTCTATTGTTAAGACTTAGATGAAGATCAGAACACATTTTATGACCAATTTATGCAGAAAACTAAGAAATTCCAAAGGGTTCACATACTCTTCCTTGCAACTGTACCATAGACTGTAAATATTACTGATGTGCCATTACCAAGACTTTCCTAACTTTACAGTACAATCATTTCCAAATATAGTAATTGACACAGGTATAAATATAATAATAATAAATAAAAACTTCCCTGAAGGGCTTTCTCTTCTAGAATATATTTTTATATATATATATAAACACACAATTGTAGGTTACTGCTTGAGATTAATTTGATGTTAGAAGTCGGGGTAAATGTGAAATATGTAGTATTTAAGGCACTCGATTATTCTTTTGTGTTTGACCCATTGACTGAAAAAAAATAATGTTTGACCCAACAAGCTCTGTTGTGCTCATGTAGGAATTAGGCTAGACTAAAGGAGCATTTAAATACAAGTAGGCTATTTGTATAGTTTCAACTGGAAAAAAGTGTCTTCTCTAAACTGTGTGCTTTTATAAATAATCATTAAAGAGAGCTGATATGTGATACTAATAACTATTGTAAGTTGATCATTTATGAGCCGTTTACAGTACCTTGACACGCTAACATAGTGATAGCTCTTCTTATATTTGCTATGTCCAGACTTATTTGAAGCAAGTAGTTTATGGTTGTTGAATTGTACAAAATACACAAAATAAATAATAATAAACAAAAAAAATGTACAAAACACCTCTGCTATATTAACTAACACTAAAATGGAAGAAAAATCTTGAAAGAAATGTTTCACGTTTCAATTTTATTGAGGCAGTGAAAAATATAACTTGAACATGTTGATTAATCCCACAGATGAATGGACAACTGTTGGTGCCAATCCACTCCTGTTAATGTTCTTCAAACAAACCCACCACCTCATCTTCCAAAGCATCCTTGAAGCCTGGAAACAGGCCTGAGAGTGTTTGGTTTTAAGAGTTCATTGCCCGTCTCTGAGGCTCCTCATCACATGATGACATCAGCACTTGATGAACTTGTGTGTGACCTCATAGATTCCCACCGACTCACTGACTTTTTCATCGTAGTCTGTCCAGTCCTGAAATTTAAATAAGCTAGTTAGTTGCAAAGATTTTTAAAAAAGGCTGACAGTAAACACCAAAGGGATCATTGTCGTTATTTTAATGCGAAATCAATAAATCTGTTTAATAGTCCAGACAGAATGGGGTATAGACAAAAATGCCCTAAGCTAGAGTCTTTCACAGTTTCTTATGCCAATATTTATAAAAAGCTTTAAAATCATTGCATATTTTAAGGAGTAGGAATACAGACAGATTAGCCTTTTTCTATATAATCCACATGCTTGCATTGTTTGGAAGCAGAGGCAATCAACTCAAAACTATTTTATCAAAAATGTGTCCAATAAAGTAGCAGGCTGGACATAATCAAGAGGTCTGATGTTGTTGCAGCCAGAGGTTAAAAAGGGAGATCAATTTAGGTTTTACAGAAACTAATGGAATGGCATCTAACCTAATACTCTCAGTTTATGTACATCATAAAAAGTTCAACAATCAAAAACTTCCCACATGAACTCCTGACATTTTCTAACTTACTACTGGGCTGCTCACATCCATAAACTTTGCTACGGGTTAAAATCTCCTGAATCCTTTGTGTAAATTGGAACTATCATCCTGTAGGGGATCTTCTATTCCTGCTCTACTTCATTCCCCTTTACCTACAAAACCCTCTCTATATACTGATAATCATGTGGTTCTTAACACACTCAAGATCTGGTATCAATTTAGACGGCATTTTAAATTTGTAGCTGCATCTTCCATGGGTCCTTTAAATAACAACCATTTATTTCCTCCATCACTTTCGGATTCCACATTTTCAGTGTGGTATCACAAGGGTATTACACAATTCAAATATTTGTATGTAGATGTTGTCTTTGATAGTTTTGCCTATTTGTCTTCTCGCTACGGCCTCCCTGTTACTCATCTGTTTCACTATTTTCAGACTCGCAATTTTGTTACTAAGTGTTTCCCTACTTTCCCCTCTTTACCTCCAGAACAGCGATGGGAAACCACGCTATCATTACTCCTCATCACAGAGGAATCATCTCAAAGTTGTATGATATTATCTTGGCTTTTAGCAATCACTCAAATGCTAAACTTAAGTGTACAGGGGAAGAGGAACTGGGAATGGGAATACGGGAGGAGTCCTGGGAACAGGCCATAGAGAGGATACGATCTACCACCTCTTGTGCTCGTCTTGGACTTGGATCCAATTTAAGGTCTTATACAGGGTGCATTTCTCCAAGTCTATCTAAACTGTATCTGGAAGTGGAAGACAAATGTGATAAATGCCATGGCTCTCCTTGTCACCTTAGCCACATGTTTTTTCTTTGTCCTGATCTGAAAGGTTTCTGGGCAGGTTATTTTACTATCATGTCCACTGTTCTTGGGGTAAATCTCCAACCTTGTCCTCTGATTGCTATATTTGGGATTCCTGACCCCTTACTTGCACTTAACTCTACACAAAAGTACATTATAGCTTTCACGTCCTTACCAGCAAGACGTTCCTTATTGTTGCATTGGAAGTCTGCTAAATATCCGTCTATCTCCCGGTGGCTCAAAGACATCATGTTTTTGTTTTTTTAAACTTGAGAAAATTAAATACACATTGAGAGGATGTACAGTCAAATTTTTCCACAAATGGCAACCCTTTATTTCCTATTTCACTAATTTAGAGGTACTACCCGATTAAATGTGTGCCTGTTACTGTTGCACCTTTTGTATTGCATAAATAACCATTAATATGTGTGTTGGTCATGATGTGCTGAATGGGGGCGTGGGTGGGGGGTTGTGCATTGTTTATTACACTTTACTCTGTAATTTAATTATTTTCTTCTACATTCTTATCAGTGTTTTTGTTTTACTTTGTTTTATTTTTTGGTTATTTTCGTTTTTGTGTGTATATGTGACTGTGTACATATGCATATATGTTAAAAAAAAAAAAAAAAGGAAAAAGGTAAATTATATGTCTGTGATTGGAAGTATCGTTTTGTATTTTTTTTCAATAAAAATATTTTGAAAAAAAAAACAAAAAAAACTGCACCCCTACAGTCTTAGGGACATGTTGTTTCCACTGAACTTACTTTTTCTTGTAGGTTGACTTCAGGAAACGGTGTTCCAGACTCTGCACCTTGAGCAGCGAAGCCAGCCTGGATTGAGTTTATGAAAGGGGAGGAAACTGAAGTGAGTCACATGACATCATTACATTGTCAACTTCACAGGTTATTCTTAGTTTAACCCTCTGACTCAGGAGAGATTTCCATTTTCCACATGACATATCCTGATTCAGCAGGTACGGGTACAGGTGTGTTTATCATGGTAGACTGGTTTCAAATGATTTAGGTGTGCTAAAAAAAAGTCATTAATACAGGACAGGCAAGCCTACATGAATGCTGTAATTTTCCTTGGTGAGACAAACGTTACATAAATGAAAATGTCAAGTTAGAAAATACACAATGTACTTTTGCAAGCTGTTTACAGAAGACTTTTTTACCATCTTTGTGTGTAGAACGGATCCCTGTTAATATCATTATAATTAAGCTGAAATGTCTGCTGTGAAAAGGGAACTTTGTACACATTGTGAAACTCTTGGGTCAATGATTCTCACTTGTGGTTGGAAGTCGACGGGCTCCAGACCTCGACACTCAAACTGCACCATCGTCTTGAAGCGTTCGCTGTCCTCGGCCTTCAACACAGCGAAAAAGAAGACAAAATTTCTCACTTTGTGAGACAATAAAGGTAATCTTGATCTTGAAGACGCACTCAATCAAACTGTCGTAACTTGGTTAAATGGAAATTTCCTGCATACATTAAGCCTTTCCAAAATATTTTGTGATGCTTATGTTCAGTATGAAACAAACACTGTAAAAGAAGAACAAGCAACAACTGTTTCACAACTATTCTGTTGTTGCTCAGAACAACATTATCCTTACTGGTTGCATTCAATATAGCTCTATCAATAGAGAGCCCAGTGACCTAGAAATGTCTCTCTCTATAATCAGTCATGCATTCATGTGGCAAATATGTGCAACATAGGTACACTGGGGCACAAATAAAGCTCCTGTGTGTACTGTGAGGCTGGTGTCATGTACGGGAAGTATGCTTACAGTATAAGGTTTAATGGTGTCTCCAAGGATATCTGCAAGGAAGCAAGTAACCAGTTTTAATTCCACCTGAGTTTTTACATTTCAAAAGGATTTTGAGTGAAATGACATGACAGCTGGTACCTATTGAATTTTCCCTGGCACAGAGTTTACACTTTAGCACCATGCTGGCACTGCCTCTTCCTCCTTTGAGTGGCACACTATCCTGTTGAATAGACAAACAAGATTAGGTATAGTGTTAAACAACAAGCATGACACATGCCAAGCTGTATTGGACAAATAAACAAATGTTATCTTTACCGCAAGAGTGATATACTGCCATTTGTCTGGGACCTCTCCACAGTTTCCACACTTCAGCTAAATACAGGGGAAAGCACAAAGTGTTTCTTGTGTGTGTAATATAGAAAGTCAACAAACCATAGCAGGAAAAAGAATAAATACTGAATGACATCTGGCCTGCACTGTTACAACTTTACAGTAAAGGCATTTAATTACTGGGATAGCTACAAACACACTGCACCACACTGTCAGGATGACGAGGAGAGGGAAAGTGTTGTCAGCATATTAAATGTCTTTCCTTATTTAGTTGCCAAATACCGGTTACTGTCAGTACCTGGCCTCACAAAATAAGAAATGGTAAAAGAAGAGACTAACATCCAGAAGAGAGGACAGTCATAGCATCATGAAGTTAGCCACCATGCTAGCTTGACTTGGCCATACTACCTTCAGAAACCAGCGGAAGTCGTCGCCCACCGGTCTCACATTGGTGACATTTTCCAGAGTGGCTTTAAACTGGAGTCCATATTTCTGTGATGCATACGACAAAAAAAAAATGAACCCAGCTGAAAGACTTTGCTGTTTACATGAGCAACATGCAGCAGGGATACATACCACCATCTTGACGCGTCGTCCCTTCTGACCACTCCTCTTGCTGCATTCAGGAAACCTTCGTACATTTCGGTTTCGGAACTATACAAATATTCTATTTTCCTCGAAAGTGCTGACTACATGAAAAAGTCAAGTACAATAGTAGCCACTGTCATGAAACAGAGACATGAAGCAAGTAAATTAAAATATTAATATTCGTATTACTTGAGATGAGTTTGTTTTCCAATGAATTCGTATTTTTTTTCTTTATGATTCGCTCGCTTCTGAGCCAGACTGTAACTATAGATATACAGCGTGTCAGCATTTCATCGTACGTGCTTAGGGTCTTTAAACGCATCATGCTGTTCAAATGTGGGTCATCGTGAGTACAGTGCCCTCTTGTGGACATAGAAAATACAGCATAAATGACCTACTTATGGTGCCCAGTCTATATATATTGTTACAATCCGTCTGTTAAAAATAAACAATGCGTTTACCTATTAATTCACACCTGTAAATAACTCATCAAAGCACATTATTCAATGAAGTTGCCGAAATAAACACTCCTTAGACGAGAGCACTGGACCGTCAAGTTTATTGACTTGTAAATAAATGACGTCATTCATCTAGAAATCATCCAACCGCGTGCATTTCCAACAGCCATACAGTACAAATCGATCATTCAAGTGTTCTGTACAAAACAAATACTGCACATAGAATACAACACTGATCCATCAGCTCTTTTATTGTAACCTTAGAGATAGTATGGAAACCTGTCTACTGTGGATACTTACTGTACATGAAAACCTGAGGCAACTTCACAGAGGCATTGTGGTGGGTCTTTGTGGTTATAAGCCACCGACCTGGGAAAAACGGATATTGCTGTGGCATTAATGTCGTTTTCTGGCATTTCAGATCAAAAAGGTATCATCAACCTGAGTGTAGAAATCTTAATCCTATTTAGCAGGGCTGCATTTGTCATACTGAAATGTCCGGCCTTGAGAATCTTAATCCACCTTATTGTGACTCAAGTGTTGGGAGTTTTAACAGGAATAATTTAAGAAAAAGTTTCAATCAATTAAGTAGAGGTTAAATGCGTCCCCCCAAAATGTACAATATCTACAACACTAGACTGAGACAATGCTTTTCTTCAACCTTTCAGCCTTTGGCTTCATTGTTCTTATAGTCACATTGTTCTGCATGTGACAATCTGTATTAGAAAATCATGTAGTGTGTTTCTGCTGCTGCAAACATACAGAATCAATGTGGTGGACTCTCGATGTAGAAAACAGACCCCATAGAGTAACACAACACAACGAGGGAACTTTGAACACTGATATACAAAGTGTAGAAAACACTCCCAAGATTGTCAGTACAAATACAGTGTGCAATCCTGGTTTCTTTAACTTTTCTTCATATTGTCATCCTCCTCATTTGGAAACCATCAAAACATCTTTCAGATTCCCCAGACTTATGGGGTTCAAGTTTTATCAGACATTACAAAAAAAAAAGCAAAAAAAAAAAAAAAAAAAGGATTCCCCTCTTTTATTCATTAGCAGCATGAATTATCCATGAAGCATCAGGGGATACATTAAAAAAAAAAAAATGCAACCTGGGAGGAAAATGCATGAGGTTAATTTTAACCCATGGTCTCATCACAAGAAGAACAAGGGCATCTCTTTGACCCTCCACACTAAAATCTAAATCCAAACAATTACAATTTAAGTAACTTATAACAAGAGTAGTCATCATTATAATAAAAGGCAATTCAATTCTTTTTGCATCTGTTTTTTTTTTTTTGTTTCCTCTCTTAAATACAGCGATGCCAATAACAGGCATTATTTACAGCGCGACCCCCACCCACACCCCTCTCCGCCCTGAGAAGAGAGGTGTGATGGGGTCAATGAGGCCGACTGCTGGACTCGGAGGTCCGCCTCTGGCGTGGGGTGCTGTGGCCGTTCGTGCAGCTGTTGTGACGTTTGCTTGGTCCGCCGTTCAGAATGTCTTGGATGTGCTGAACTATTAAGTTAATGGCCACTGCAGGAAAGAGAAGAAGAAGGACTTAGCACTGCACTTTATTAGCATGTATGGTCATTTAAAAAGGAAAAAAAAAACTGAAGCAGAATCATTCATGCCTGACAAATCCGGACTCCTACATTACCCATGATGAGACTCACTTGCTGACAGTTTTTTTTTGTTTGTTTTTTTAAAGATTTTGGTACCCTAACTTTGTTGCCTCTGGTTTCACTGTACATTAACTGTGCTTACCAAGGTTATCGGCTCCTCGTGGAATAATCACATCTGCATACTTCTTGGTCTGGTAAGAGTGAAGTGATAAAGTCAATGCACAAATTAAGAGATAGTCTCTCACACAGATAAGTACTCACACAAGGAAGTTAAGACAGAAATCAAATAGTATGTCAACAAGTAGTTACTAAACAAACAATTGAGTAGGTTTCTTCATCTCATATTTCATGCAGGAAACACAATGTATTCCACAAAGCAAATATTTTCACATGAGATGGCCATTCCAGTGCAGCAGCTGAAAACTACAGATGTTTGGAGTTCAAAATGTCACTCACTGGTAAACAGAACTCCTCAAAGGCCGGTTTCACAAATGTGATGTACTGAGCCAGCACCTGCTCCAGCTCTCTCCCGCGCTCACTGATGTCCCTGAGAACTGAAACAGAGAAAGCAAACCAAATGAGAGAAAATTAAACTTAACATATAAAAGGAGACATATTGGTATGTATAGCTACTCCTCAGAGGAAATGTTAAGACAGCGACGGTTTTATGAGCCGTGTCTATTGTTGGATGACTATGGGTTAGGTGGGGCGTTTCTCTCTTCTTGTTACACATGCTGTGGTTGCTAATTCAACTCTCCCCACACACCTCTGCGTGAAAGCCGTGTGTCTGGATCTGTGTCCACAAATAGCTTCATCTGGAAAAGGTCTCTGATTTCCTGGGAGTAAAACATAAGGATGCCCTCGAACAGGACCACATCAGCCGGATACACTGTGACAAACTCCTCTTTCCTGGAAACACAAACACACACACACACACAATCAGTAACCATCTCATCAGATAATTATTAAATGATAACACACCCAAGTTATAATTCAAAGGAACCTGTTGAACCTGACTTTTTTTACGGGCAGTGATAATGAGTGGCTCACCTGGAATGAGTGACAAAGTCATAAACCGGGATCTGGATTGTTTTCCCCTGCAGGATCAGTCGCAGTGTTTGCATTATCAGCTCATTGTCGAAGGCATCTGAGGACAAGAGAAGGCATATGCATGGTAGTGGATCTTCCATGAGATGTCATATTTAACCCACGTTACACCAGCCCCATATGGACACGTGGGACCAACGCTGCAAGTTTGGTAACCCAGGAGTCCCCTTCGGTGTGTAACAGGTGTTGGGTTCTGCCTGCCCCTGGAAGCAGCTGCCTCTTTGGAAAAGCCTGCTGACTGAGGGGGTTTAAAATCAGCCGAGAAAGGAAGCAGGAGCAAGTGGGCCAAAGTCAGACTCCAAAAATGGAGTGTGTGCATCTGCCAAACACGGAGGGAAGAAAAAAATTAAGCGACACGTCAGAGAAGAACGCTGCCGTGCAAGCTTCTGAACACGAATGCTTCCATTTACACAGAACACCGTTTAGTTACTGTGTCAGTGCATGGATTTTTAAACCCCTAATGTCACTCATGAGTCAGTATTTTATCTGTTTAGAGTTCAAACTGCCTAAATTCCACCATAAGCGACACGTCAGAGAAGAACGCTGCCGTGCAAGCTTCTGAACACGAATGCTTCCATTTACACAGAACACCGTTTAGTTACTGTGTCAGTGCATGGATTTTTAAACCCCTAATGTCACTCATGAGTCAGTATTTTATCTGTTTAGAGTTCAAACTGCCTAAATTCCACCAATTATTGCCTCTATTTTCGCGAAACGTTTTTTTTTTTTTTAATTAAGTCTGTCAGAGTTTAGAAATTTGACTCGTGTTATCTCAGAGGAAATACTCAGTCTGTCGAGTAATAAAACTCTCAAAATGACCGCATCTATTAACACAAAACGTTGACTGTCAAGGCTGCGGGTTTTAAAAACCACACATTAACAGTTTAACACCCCCTGCTCATTGGGTGTGTCGTTTCAAACCAGGTAAAAATGAATTTCCCTGAGGAAATTAAAAACCCAGCAAAAAAAGTGTAGCACACGTGCCCACTTCCGTGAAAGCATGAGCCCTAACACAAGTTATTACGTGTCTTTATACCTGGATGGTCGAAGTTAAACTGGCCCTTTTGTGCCTTTGCCTTCTGCTCTGGAGTTAGAACTTTGTAGAAGCTGTCCTGGCTGAGGATGGCCACCTGCCGCTGGTGGTGGTCGATCTTGTTCTGGCCCAGCAGCTCCATGATCTTCTCACATACTGATGACTGCAGAGACAGACATATGGATCAGAAGAACCCACACAAAAGGAGGTTTCCGTTTCATGTTTAACCCCTAGGTGATATCTACCAGTAAAATAGGCAAAGTGGCTGGGGGGGGATTTCCCACCCTGTAAGCGTCAGATAACAAAAGTGTGTCGGTGAACTCCCACCGACCCGCCATATTTGTCCCCACTGACCCTGCCAACAAAATGGATCTCATACCCAGTGCTGACTTGGCGATCTGAGGCTACAAAGGCTCTGCTGCCTTTGTGTCCCTGATATTGAACCACAATGAACCCGTCCCACCCCTACCCCAAAAAAAAAAACGCAGTAACATTTATTATAATATTGATAATCCATGAATCATACACTGACATGTATTATTCTAGCCACATTATAGGAATGTACACTTTGGCAAGCTACATTATGAATCACTGAATAACAATTGGTAGGTTCATTTATTCTGGATACTTAACATGAACGTGACACATTTTTGTTTTCATGACTCAAGACCACAGTAATGTGTTTACAAAGATAAGCCGATCTAATCTTGAATCAAGCATCCACTGAGATTAAAAAAGAAGTGAAGTGGGGTAAAAACAAGCCTGAAGACCCCCCACCCGACCCCACCCCGCCTTTTATCTCACTGTACCATCCACCTGAGCTCGTCACCAGCAAGCCATCAGTTCCAGCTGTGCATCCGGTTTACACA